TTTTTCTTTCCTGTACCAATTAAATAATATTGTTTATTCTGCATAGTTTCTTATGTCATTGCTTTTTGTTCTGTTTAATAATTCTTTTTCCGGTTATTCTTCTTCGTGTTCTCATCTCATTTGTCTTCAAATATCTATGCTTGTATCTGATCTTGTTCCTACTGTATATGTCATGACTGGTCGGATTACAGATTTGTTTATTTATGCTTGTTTGTCTAGATCTAGTGTCTGTTTCACCGTATTGTGTCATTATAGCACTTATCCCCTTACTTTCTCTTCAATATTTTTGTTGGTCGATAAGTTTATTCCCATATATTTAAATTTTAATACTTGTTTTATCAGTAGGTTTTCAATCTGAACTTTCTTTCACCTTGTTGGTTCCTTTGACAATACTAAACTTTTCATAATAAGTGATAAAATTTTCATATTAAATCGTTTGGCTTTGATATTAAACTGGTGTAGTATTTATTGGAGATCATCTTCGTTCTCTGTTATCAAAAACTCGTCATAAACATCGCATATTATATTTATCTCCTTGCTTGCCGGTTGTTTTTTTATTTTTACTAGCTTAAAACCTCTCAATACTATATTAAATATAAAAGAATAAATATTACAACTGGACTTCCATATCTGATTCCAGTTGTAGTGTTTCTAGATTCTTTTTTTTTCTATTTGAACTTTTACTTCGGTTCTGTTTCTTACATGTCGGTTCTCTATTATTTTTATGATATCAAGTAATCTGGATTATCTGTTGTACAGATGTATATCGCATCCGATAGTCTCACTGTGTCGTAGGACATTTCTAAATTAACCAAACATAGTTAGGCTAGTTCATTATATTATTGTATACTTCTCTGCACAAGAAACTTGTTGTTAGTCTGGTATACTAATCTTTTCTTCAAATTATTTGATATTATTTTTAATATTAATTTCAAAATAGTACTTAACAATTCCTTTAGAGTATTATGGTCGCACATTACACCTATTGTAAAAGAAAAAACGTAATACTCGTTCTCCACTCCTCATGTATTGTTGATGACCTTAACTCTTTATTAAATATTATGGTTAACTGTTGTATAAGCCATATTTTATTAATTTATTTTCTGTTTTTTAACTTTATGATGACTTCTTTTATCTCATGTTTTTATAATTTGCGTTAACTCATTTGATGTTATATCGGGAGTTTCAAGAGCATGTTCAGTTTCCTTTGTTCGGTTTATTTGTCTAATATTATGTTGTCCATTTTTTTATTTATGTTGATATCTTATATTAATTCCTTAATTTCTATTATATGTCCCTCTTATAAACTTTTACTGTTTTATTGTTTTCTTCGGCCTGATTAGCCCATGTGCCGTGTTACGAACTCTCTTATATTCATAAGTCCCCTGCGTTCTTTCAGATCTATATTTTATATAAACATTCTTTTTTCCTTCAGATATATTTCTATACTTTGGGTAAACATTATAGTGTACGTTTTCTTTCATTTAAGTTTGTGTTTATTTTTATGCCTCCTAGAGGCTTGTTTGCTTTATGTTGTTTTAATTCTTTTCCCAACTAACTTAGTTATCTTCATCGCATGTAACGCTTTGTTGTTAAATTATTTGATCTAGCCTACTTTGATATAGTTTTTTGTCAAAATTGTCTTTATTAATTTTAGTTTCTAGTGTTGGTAGTTTGTGTTTATGATTCTTAATCGAATTAAGATGACTTTTTTCCAAAACTAAATTGTGGCCAGTCCCTACGTTAGCAGGCTTCCTACATCTAATACTTGCTGGTATTATTAATTTATATTTGTAAGAATATGGTATCTCATTAATTTCTGTCCAGTTGTGTTAAATGTTCTTAAAAAAGTATTACATTGACTTAAATAACTAAAATTATTATATTTCTTTCAATAAATATCAGGTTCAAATTTTTAGAAATCATAACAATATTTTGTCATTTATAAGCTTCTGTTTAAAATATAGGTTACTTAAATATTATACTTTTGCCGTTTTTAAGATCATAAATCTATTTTGAGGTATCCATTACTTAAACAATCGCGAAATGAGAAATAACTTTCTTGGCTTAAATAGGAAATAAAGAGGGGAATCCCCGAATTATCGAAATACGCAGTGAGCGAATTGACAACACCGTATGAGTCTATAAGGTCGTGTATATGAGGCCCCAAGACCACAATACGGATAAAAATTATACTGATGAGGCTGTAAAATCGGAAATCGGCACGAGGTGGTAATGATAGGAGAACCGAGGGGGAGAGTATATGTTAAATTTTGTTTTATCCAAATAGAAACTAGGGCATTAAGAATGTTTTGTTACCTGTTTTGATATACACGACGACTAAAATATTATATACACCTGGAAATAGGAGAGGCCGTAAGGTTGCGCTATGGTTTGAGTCCTTAAGGATAGTAGGATGTAAATATATATATATATATATATATATATATATATGTATATATATATATTTATATATAGATATATATATATATATATATATATATATATATATATATATATTTATATATAGATATATATATATATATATATATATATATATATATATATATATATATATATATATTTATATATAAATATTTATATATATATATATATATATATATATATATATATATATATATATATATATATAATATATATAATAAAATAATATATAATATATAAAACACGTTCCTTTAATCCTGTTATAAGGTTCATTTTCATCTAAAACCTTTTCATCCAGACTATTTACACGAAGATCTTCATTTGTTAAGAAATATTTTAATTGAAAACTCTTATCCTCCAGATATGCTACATACGATGCTTTTTTCTAATTTATTAAATATAAATAACTTAACACCATTTTTTGCTAATTCTCAAAACACTGTATCATACAATCTAAACATATATTATCATTCACTACCTTTTATACCATCATTAACTCCTAAATTAATACAAACATTAAAGGTTATTGACAATATAAAAATAGCAACAAAGAACATCAAAACTATTTCATCTTTATATTCCAAAACAAAATATCCTATAGACAAATTAGATCAAATAAATGTAGTATACAGCATTGTTTGTACTCAGTGTGAAGCTGAGTATATTGGTGAGACTGGAAGAAATCTCTCAAATCGCATTATTTCTCACAAGAGTGATTGTAGAATTAAGAAACCATCTTGTGCTTTGGCAGAGCATGTAATAGACAAAGACCATATTATGGATTTTAATAATATTAAAATTTTATGTAATGAAAGTAATAATTTTAAAAGAACTTTTTTGGAAATGGTTTGTATTAGCAAAAGTGATAATAATTTAAACAAAAGTTCAGAAATTCAAAATTTAAGCAAAATTTATAATTATATAATTTCCATTTAATTTATATATGCAGTCAGTAAAATATCACATTTTGAATTTTCCATGTATTTGTTACATTTTTTCGTGCATCTATCAATGGTGAATAAATCTTCTTCTTTTTTGTTACTAAACAAAGAAGAATTTGTTAAAGAAAATTTTATTTTTGACAATATGTCAAAAATAAAAATTTTTAAGTTAGTATTTATGACATTTAGGCTGGTTTGTAGCTATTCTATTTTTGTTTACAAATTCAATTTTTTTCTTAAGAAACTTCATCAAATTTTTTCAGAGAAACATTTATTAGAATAAGACATTTTTGTATTAATATTTTTTGTATTTAATATGTAAGCAGTAGTTTTATATAAAAAACTAATTTTATTTGGTGAGTTAACAAAAAATTTTTTATTTCTAGTTCAACTTTGTAAGATATTTTCTATTTTTTTAGAAGCTCTTGATAAAAATTGTAATCACAATTGACAGCTCGAGTAAAAAATAGTCAACAAATAGCCCCTTTTATTGACTCCAACCCATCAAAAACAGTTTTATATTTTTTCCAAACGAGTCACAAGTACTTCTTTTTTCTTTTAATTTATTGAGCCAATCAAAATAATGTAACTTAATTGTTATCAAATGTAAAATAAAACTCCTTATATTACCTGTGTTCAATGGATTCAAAGATTTTCTAGTAGTCCTTTATCAGGATAGAGGAAATGGATAAGAATAAAAGAAAATATTATATTAAAAAAATTACTTTTCTTTATTTTATATGAACGAATAAAACAATTATCAAATTCTGCCGTTATCTTATCAATCAGCATACAAGAAAATAAATGAAATTTTTATAACAATAAGATTTTAACAAAAACTTTAAACTTTTATTAGTCAAACAAAACTCAATTCTCAAATTTGAATGATGTCAACGATGAATAACCACGATGTCAACATAGCTCCTTTACAAATACCAATTTCAATTGTTCAAACACTTACAGCTTTTTTCCTTATTGAATTGTATGTTGGAACATACCCAGAAAAGTCCAGTCTCCTCAACGATGTGCTCTCTCCTTTTTGGTACCTCGGCTCCTTCCTAACGTCTCTGAAAACCTCCTGCACTATCCAAAAAACACCTGATTCACTTCTCCAAAAAACTCAGCGTCTTATTTATGACACAAGGACCTCCTTTTGTCAACTTGATGCCGTAAAAATTACTTTCATATATAATTCACAAAATGCCCACGGTAGATACACGGACCTCTATTAATCCTTGTTATCTCCCTCTGCATGACTATTCACTTCTTTTCACAATGCCGGTATCCAAATTCATCACTTTAAAAGTGATGAAATGATTATTAAAATGACGGAAATTGTGCAAAAAATCCCATGTTTAAATAATTAGACTACCTATTAGGAAATATTACGTAGTTACAGGTGAAATAAGTAAATAATTTGTTTTGATTTACACATATAAGTTAAAAGTATGATTAATGACAAAAAACAAAGATGTTTATATTTACTAGGAAGGAATTTTTAATTTTTCTGTCACTAAAAAAGTTTAATTTTAATAGATGTCCTATTTAAACAATGATTTTATATTATTTAAAAATTTAATCACAAAACCCGTAAAATTTGTAAAGTTTAATTACCTTTGTTAATTGTCCTGCACCCAATGGAAAGTTTTTGGCGTTGAAGTGTTTATCGTTAGGAAATGATTCCATAGGAGATCGATCACCATGTCTCATTACCTAAAAAATTATGCCACAATAAATATTAGAAAATTATGGGAAAACTGTTTTTTAAATATAATTGCCTAGTTAATTTTTTTAAATCCACATAGTATTTATTAATCTTAAAAAATTATATGATAGCATGCCATGTATGGCTGAAATTTGAAAAATATTTAAATAAATTTTGAAAAATTGACAGAAGGTCAAAGAGTACTTTCTTTAACATTTTTGTATAATTACAAAACTAATTTGTTTGTTATTGGATTCAACAGTAAAATAACCACTTTACTGATGATAATAATGATAATGAATTAACTAAATTAAACACATAAAGACGAAAAAGATATAATCAATGGAAAGAATCTGTATAAAATCAAATGTTAAATACTTGTTTTTTTAATAAAGTGTGCTTTTATGTTATATTAATTACATGCATAAAATATGAGAAACATGGGAGAATGTTCTTGGAGGAGGAAGACGATGGATAGGGAAGACTGGAGAAAAATTCTTAAGGAAGCTAGAACTTGTATAGGATAAAAATGTCAGAATGATATTAGTACTTTTACGTTATCTTAAAATTTTTGTTGCTCAGAAAAATTATACCTACCAATGTTACAGCTAAAAGTTCCGATTTAGTTTGTTTCTTAAGTGGAGAAGCATCAATGCAGATAGTGGATTGAGCAATAAATAGAACAACAGATAGCTTTATTAATATGTCTGAACTATATTTATTCATCATGTAAAATAAAAATATAAGTTTTCTTGATCTTGATAATAAACCTAAAAACCAAAAATATTAGTATTATAAAACAAAAACTAATTTATTTGACGATTTAACTTATCTGTTAAACGTTAAATGAGATTTACAAACCACTAAAATAACATTTAAGTTAAAATTAAATGGGGGAAAGGGGATCAGATTCCCTTAGAATCCCAATGTTTTCTTTTTACATTCTCAATTCATCTTCTACGCAGTTGTTTCCAACCTTTTCTGCCCTCTTAATAATGTCATTATCTTTGTGTACTTATTATTTCACTTCCTAGCAATGTGTCCATCTATCGGGCAAGATACCCTAACCTGAATTATGCAGGATAGTGTGATATGCTAGCTTCTTCTTCTTAGAGTGCCGTCTCCCTACGGAGGTTGGCAATCATAATGGCTATTTTTATTTTAGAATTTGCTGCTCCAAACAAATCAATCGATCTGCATTGGTACCAATCACGTAGATTCTTTAACCATGAGTTCTGCCTTCGGCCAACAGATCTTCTTCCTTGAATCTTTCCCTGTATTATCAGTCTCAGAATTTCATATTTTGGTCCCCTCATCACGTGGCCTAGGAATTAAAGTTTTCTGGTTTGTATAGTGGTGATTAGTTCTGTTTCTTTACCAACCCTCTCCAGTACTTCTTTATTTGTAATTCTATCAGTCCATGATATTTTCAATAATCTGCGGTATAACCAGAGTTCGAAGGCCTCGATTCTTTTTAAATTACATTTTTTTAATGTCCAAGTCGCAGCTCCATATAATAATATTGAAAATATATAACAGCGAATGATACGTAGTCTGATCCCCAAATTTAGATTTTTGCACGTTAGGAGTGGCTTCATTCGTATAAATGCTGATCTGGCAAGACCCGCTTAGGTCTGATCTGATGCTAGCTATGGACCCGCTATTATTTCTACTGTATTATCGAAGTGTATTGGTTGCTCGGGCGTCCCCACTCCGGACTAGGTCCAATTTGGCATCTCGTTGCTCGGGAGTGTGGCACTTTGCCCGTTTTTAAGGTTTTTTTGTGTGGCTTGCGTCATTTTTTTAGTATTTTTATATATTGATTTGTGATCTAGGCCATTTTTTGTGTTTTTTATGTTTTATTTTTGGAGGTGGTGTCTGAAATAACATGTCAATCAGTTTATGCATGATACCGTGCATGATACAATATGCATGGAGGTTTTCTTTGATAAAGCTGCAATATTATCTAGGTAAAGAAATAATAAATTAGACTTACAATCAATTTAATTTAACTATCAGACGACCGGTTTCGCTTTCTGTAGAGAGTACCGGCATCATTTGTTTAACTTTGTATCGAGACCTGAGGATGCTTTGCATATTGTAGAAAGCGAAACCGGTGGTCTGATAGTTAAATTAAATTAATTGTGAGTAAGTCTTATTTATTATTTCTTTACCTATTTGAAATGGACTCACACAAGCAACACATTCATGATTTTTATTACAATATTATCTGTTATACTTCTTTAAATCTATGGGTGGTGGGAATAAGCACATAAGTCAAAAAATGAAAAAAAAATTTTAAGTCATATTCTTATTGTACCTATGCCTTCCCGTGGTTGTGTAAAATGATATAAGTCAAAAACTTATTATATCTCTATGAAAAGTAACTGTGAAAATCAATATAAGTCAAACTGAACTAATAATGATAGTGTATAATCACATAAGTCGACTTATGTGTTCTTAGGCCTACATCAATTTGTTGTGAATAAACACATAAGTCTGACTTATGTGTATTTACTAATCTCAATGATTTGTCAGTCGCTACGTATTAGTGGTTTGTGGTCAGTCGTTATTCTGATAACAAGTATGAGTCGACGAAGTAAAAATATTTTACAGCTCGCGTTAGAGCAGGCGAACATATTGGCCGATGGTAAGTAAATAAATATCTTATAGAAACATATTATAGATAAATTTTAAACATCTTTAACAAGTAAATTTATTTAACCTTTTCGGTACGGCACCGGTTTACTACAATGTGACCGGCTGGAAAGAGCGCGAAAAGATCTCGAAAATACATATACATAAAAAAGTAATGATTTCGCATGTAACGCGATATCGTTGACACAGTAGAAGGCGGTAATGCTATCTATCAGTAATAAAACTTGTTTTAGGAAGTAATTTTATCCGTTAATGAATCATTTACTTGCATTTATAATAATTCGAGGTACCTAAACAAGTCTTCTTTTCTTCTACAGTCATTTCCCGCCGCGAAAAGGTTAAATTTAGATAAGTAGCTATTAATCCTGTATACACATGCAGATACCTTCGAAAATATAAAAATAAGATATGATTACTCTGGAATAGAAAACAATAGATTTATTTTGTTTTAGGAGAGTTAGAGTGCAATATAGACAGTGATGATTCGGATCGTGATCCGACATATACACCAAACAGTGATAGTGATAACATTCCCCGCACTCTTCAGCTTGCTCTAGATGTCGCAGCGGGGTCGCCGGAGTATAATGATGAAAATGCGAAGGCGGGGCCGTCTTCACCAGTATTAATAAGAAAGCGTGGAAATAAAAGTGATTCGAGAAAAATATGTCGCGACAGAACGGAAAAACGAAATGCAGGTCTTGCGTACTGTACTCGGCGAGGAAAGCTCCGCAGCGAAAGAAAAATGTTGGCTTTAGGACTATGCAGAAGACTATGTCAAGCCAAATTTTTAGATGAAAAAAGACGTACCCTTTTTAATGAGTATTGGAATTTAAAATCCTATAACAAACGAGCTGCATATATTGGATCATTAATAAATATCGAGAATAAGGCTGTAAGTAGACCCAGAATGGAAGATCCTAATCGTCAAAAATTTAGACAAAAAACATACAAATATTTTTTTGAACTTGATGGACAGCGTTTGCAAACATGTAAAGGTTGCTTCCTTAAAACATTTGGCGAGACCGATAATTTTATAAATTTGGATGGTGTAAAGAAAGCTACTTCCGTTGGTGGATTTGTCGCTGATGACAGCAGGGGGCGTGCATCCCCACCTTCCAAATTTTCAAAGGAAATATTAGATAATGTGCGTCAACATCTATTATCATTTCCAGCATACGAAAGTCACTATACAAGAAGAGAAAATAATAAAAAATATTTAGCATCCCACTTGACTAGGAAACTAATGTACGATCTCTACAAAGATATCTATAAAGATGGGGTATCAATACGCTATTATAGACAAGAATTTCACCATTTAAACTTAGCCATTAAAAAGAGAAAATTAGATACATGCGACGAATGCGATAAATTTAAATTGAAACTGGACCTTGCTGAGAATGATGAGGCTAAAACTGAAATTATAGGTCAAAGGGACTATCACTTATTTTTGGCAGATGAGACTTACAAACAAAAACAAAAAGATAGAAAACTAGCAAAAGCCAATGAAGCTATTAGCTGGTTGACGATGGATTTACAACAGTGCCTTGCTACTCCATTTTTAACTAATTCCATTTCATTCTATAAGCGTCAGCTATGGACGTATAATTTAACGATCCATGATAGTACAACAGGTAAGTCATTTTGCTACATGTGGTACGAGACTATCGCAGCTCGAGGAGCCAACGAAATTGCGTCTTGTCTTTACAAGCATATTCAAACGTTACCCCCTATTATTAAAAAAGTAATAATATACTTAGATTCTTGTGGGGGGCAGAATAAAAATTCATTTGTGACTGCGATGTTAATGTTAGCGTTACAAAAGTTCCAAAACCTTGAAGTTATAGAACACAAATTTATGGTTTCTGGGCATTCCCATCTGGAAGTGGATGGTGACCACGCTATCATAGAAAGAAAAAAGAAAACAACCAATACTTTAATCAGCCATCCTTATGATTGGTATCAGTTGGTTCGCTCTTGCGGACCAAGGTTTACCGTTGTCGAAATGACCCAGACCGACTTCTTAAAATTCTCAGCTATGTTAAAAGGCCCACTTGTAAAAAGAAAGAAGGATGTAGCAAAGAATGACTTTAAGTGGCAACCTGTACGATGTTTTCAGTACACTAAAAATTTTGGCGAAATCAATTTTAAATGTAGCTTAGACGAATATGAACCATACCAACAAGTATCATTTTTACGCATTAACGCAGCACAAAAATGGCTAGATGAAGGAAGTAATGTTCCACATATTACAAACATGCCATTGCCAATTTCCGAAGAAAAGAAAAGGGATCTCTTGGCACTACTTGACAACATTCCACCTGTTTTTCATGATTTTTATAGACAATTGCTGTCTTCTTCAAAGTCAACATCTACCGATCCCGATGTAGAAGAATTTGATGAAGATGGTAACAACTGATGTGTGTAAATACCTTTTATCATAAATAATAAACTTTCTGTAAAATGAATTGTTAATTTGATGATTTTGTTCTTCACTACTTTAGAATATTACATTACTTTTGGTTATTTGTTATATTTTATTTATTGTGAAAAAACACATGTCACTTTGTTATACTTATTGTTGGTGACAAATGGAATAAGTCAATCAAAACTCAGGAAAAAATGTATATTTGTAATGGATTTTCTACAAGACATATGTAATACATTAAATCACGGTTAGTTATAAAATTTTATTAACGGGTGCTTCATAATGTAGGAATCAATCAGTTTTTACGTTCTCCTGAAAACTTGCCATTTTTGACTTATGTGTTTATTCGCACCACCCATAGAAATATTCAATAACATTTTTGTTTAAGAATTCTGTGCTTTTAACCATTGAACACATCATACCTTAACATCTCTCGCAGGGCTGACAAAAGTTTCAATTTCTAATTTAACTGAGCTGCCACCTTCCTTCGGAGGACACGTAAAGCCGTCGTTCACGGCTACTAAAGTAGTCGGTAAGAAATGTTAGGAGCACTTGTGCGACTTAAAAGCCCTAACACTAGGCCTTAGCCAGAAGGTTATACGAAGTTTACTTTTTATCTCTCGCAGGATCCAGTTTGGGTGGTTTTCTAGCTCGGCAAATTTTACTTTGGCTTTTTCTTCTGTCATT